GGGTGTCCACTAACGCAGGCTTAACTCTACATTCTCCACTTCCCCTTGCCGACCACCAGCAGATCTTGCGTTATTAGCGCCTGTAGACGCATGGTGTGGAACGTCGTTTCATGACTCGATGTTTACTCGCACTGAATGCTTATATACGCCGACCATTATCATAATAAATTACGACAGTTGGCCACTGTTTACAAAACCAAGTCGAAACTACGCGGAAATTTCTCGCTATACCTACATTTTAGTGTGCGGGTCTCTGAGAGCGTTTATAAGAAAAATGTAACCTAAGCTATAAAAGCTTAACGTATAACTTTAGCTGTTAACTTAAATAAAAGCTTAACGTAAGCTTAAGCTTATATGTAACCTAGCTATTAAAGCCGGGCTAAAGTCGAACGTTCTCCGCAACGCGATCGTCGCTGCAACTTGCAACCAGTTGCAGAAAATCAGTCGCAAAGCCGACCTAAGCTCGGCTTTTACAGATATTACAGGCGAGTCAGTTATATTAGGCGTAGATTTAGCTAACACGAAGTTCATGTCATATTGGATTTTTTGTACAACGTAACACCGGGGTGTAGCGGTATGTGTTGTGACTGCATGGCAAACCTTGACCCAGTTTTGCCAAGCAATTAAGCTAAATGAGTAGATAATAACAATCCAAGTATAACAATACCAGGGTTCTCCAAGCTTTTTCATTATAGCAAGGCGGGTGCTGCCTTTACGGTCCTAGTTGCAAATCGCCGAAGGCGGTTTGCGGGCTAGGGGGGTCCGGGGGCTATGATATTTAGCATGGCGGCTATGATATTTAGAGTGGCGGGTGCATTTTAGGATTGCGGGGCTCGACGATAGCCTGGCGGGCCGCCAGGTTATAAGTGCTCTTGGAGAACCCTGAATACAAGTATATTATCTACTCTTGATAAGAATGCATACAAGCAGAACACGCACGCACGCGCAAGCAGCACGCACGCACGCCTTCTGCGAATGGCAATTTAATCACTTTTATATACACTGTCACAACTTCTGGCCTATTGCATATTACCCTGCTTACGCTGCGGCTACTGTTGTTGTTGTTGTTGTTGTTGCTGCTGCTGCTGCTGCTGCTACTGCCGCTGCCACTGCTACTGATGCTACTGCTACTGCTACTACTTCTGCTTCTACTACAGCTGCTGCCGCTGCCGCTGTTACTGCTACTGCTACTGCTTCTGCTACTACTACTGCTCCTGCTGCTACTACTGCTGCTGCTACTGCTGCTACTCTTGCTGCCACTGTTACTGCTGCCGGTGTTACTGCTGTCGCTGTTACTGCTGCTGCTGTTACTGCTGCTGATGCTGTTGTTGTTATCGCTGCTGTTACTGCTGCTGCTGCTGTTGTTGTTGTTATTGCTGCTATTGCTGTTGCTGCTGCTGCTATTGTTGTTGTTGTTGTTGTTGTTGTTGTTGTTGTTGTTGTTGTTGTTGTTGTTGTTGCTGTTGCTACTGCTGCTGCTGCTGCCTATGCTACCACTACCATTACCACCACAATTACCACTCTTACTACCACTATTACCAGTGGGAGGGTTATCATGTAAGGTCTTCATTTGCATACCCTTTCTCTGGACTGATAATACATATTATAAGATGGTAAATGTAATAACACAGCTACTGACTTATCGTCAAAATGTTCGTGTCCTTATCAATCTAGATAATTATAGGCATGAATTGAATCATGCGCACTCACGCTTTGAACGCTGTTCATAGACACTAAAATAGCCTCACTAAAATGGCAGTGGGCTAGCTCTAGAACTATAGCCCTTCACCCTGCCACAGGAATGTGACAGAGTGAAGGGCTATATCAGTGGGCTTGCTGGGAACTACACGGAATTAATTTTGGTACAGATGCGACTCCATGTTTCAATCGACTTTCGTAAAGTATAAATTGGGATGGTGTCTTTCTTACGCATACCGGCGCATCGTTTATTAGCTGCCGTTTTCGCTACAGAGCTATTAATTATTCTGCATGAATAATTGGTGTTCTTTGCCACACCAGAGTGTGACGTATGAAGGTTGATGGCCCACACGTGTCACATGTCCTTTCAACTGCATAGCGCAGCCTTTCAACGTGAAGCAAGTGAAGACATCGCCAGACTAGCCAATCAGATCTAAATGGTAATAAAAGATTACTGGATGGACTACTAGACGTGATGCGGCCATGATGCCGAGGCGCGTCGAAGATTGACACTTTGTGTATCACAGCGTACGCCGCACCTCTCCGTTATAATTTCAAAGGTGGAGACCCATTGAGGTACGGAATCGCTGATCTCAAGAACTAGGGCATTCTGCTAGGCTAGAACGGTTTCTTACGATAGTTTGGCACAAAAACGAAAATAACACGCTGTTTAGCGCACTGCGCTACGTCGTTCTGTTGCATTTTCGCATCTCCGTAATCGGAATAAGCCCCGCCTTCTTCGTTGATTGACACTGAATGGGGCGTCAACGACGTGACCAGTTACTGCGTGTAGGTGTTTGGCGAGACTGTTTGCTTTTCGTAAATAATGAAAGGCCCGGCCGATGCATTTTGCATCGAAATGGAAAACTTTGGCATTTTTACCCGCTTTCGGAAGTGAACGAGTGCGTCATTCATTGAACATTGAAGTTTTTCTTAAAATTAAAGAATTCCGAAAATCCCTGACTGCGCTACTCGATTGTTTTAGCCAATGAACGTAGCTGTGTGTGTGACGTCTTGCCCGCGCACTTTATGCTTGGCTTAGCGGGCCTCGAAATGGATATCGGAGGCAGGCACCTAGCAACACGCCTGTTTGTTTACATAATAGCTTTGTGACATCAGGATGGGCGGTGTTGGGAGTTCTTCGATGATAACCTCAGAATTTCTCAGAATTTCTTAAGGTGCATGGAACATTTTACCAATTTAGTGGTGTCAGTTAGTCACGGATATGTCACAGTAAGTACTAACCGTATATGTTTCACATACGTTCACCTATTTTGCACACAGGCAGTCGATCATTGTGAAAAATTGTGTGAATATTTATTTTCATTGAGACGTTCCAAGTGCCTGTGCTTTCAACAGTCTTCTACGTCAATGCACGTGCGTCAAGAGCCACAAACTCAACACAATTTCATCTCTGTTATTGTTTACGTCTGAATGCGTGATTGATCAGGGAGGGGTGCATGTAAGAAGGAGACATTTTCTTTGGGGTTCCGAAAAACACAATTCCACTTGACAATTTCATGGGCCATTTCAATTGGAAGCTCTGCATAATGGACCCCCAACAAGCCCTTTGACTGACTAGTCAAAATATTGAAAGGTGTGTATATATTGCTCTTATTTAGCCGCCGATATAGTTCTTATTTAGAACAAAGTCTTCATTGTTATCTTCTAAAACTACAGACCATCCGCTGACCGCTGTGGAGACGTGCGCCGGGCCTCGAATTTGGCGCACGTCTCCACTGCGGACAGCGCTTCATACTTGAACATCCCCGCGATCGCGTGCGCATATCCCGCGGAACTGCGCGTCTCATCCGCGCACAGCGCTCAGAATCCACAGCAAGCTGTACCGCTCTGGATTACTAACTAAGATTACTAGATGGATCTAAAAGCAAATAGCAGCCATATAGATCCGTTACCCGTACCGATAAATAACATCAGGAGTAGATAATAGGGAATAGGGATAATAGGGATTCCCTATTATCTACTCCTGATAACATACACAAACCAGCAGTAGAAATGTAATCTGAGATAAATCAGCTAAATCAGATAAATCAGATAAATCATATCAATTTTCACTTGATAGCCCATCTCGATATTTAGATAGCCCTGAATTACAGCAGGAGCAGCGTGAGGATTTCAATATTAATCCTTATTACTGTCAAATTTAAATAATTACATCGCTATTAGTAAGCCACTGCTCGACCTTTATACACGGTGAACCGCCTGCCAGTAGCTGTAGCTCCTATGTTACACCGAGTGTTGATGCAAGAAGCAATAGCTGGGTCGGCTCCGCCTAACTAGAGCCAATTTTTGGCTCGTACGACATGCGTAATGCTAGCAGAAATGTGTCGAACACGTTTACTCGCACTTAACCTTGACCATGAGTGCTGACCATGATTTTACAGGGCGGGGAAGTCTGCAAGGCAGACTAATTAATCTCTGGGAAAGAAACATCCAATTATCCTATACGTCACCTGACGCTTGGAACCTTAAACGGAACAAATGCAATGCTCGCAATGCTTGGATAAGGCGATGGCAGCTCCGTTTTACACCTACATAATACCAGGGATTAATAATGACAAATTTGTCACGTTTTATCAGAGGTCAATATTATTGACCCCTGATAAAACGTATTCTCAACGCACATGACAGACATTGACATGGATACAGACGTGCTTAATGTACAGCTTTAATAATTAACGTCGAGTCGAAAGAATACATTCAATTAGCCGTTAAATTATTCGACAGATTAGCTGTCGCCGGTCGGCTTCATTACTCCATGCGTATCTGCCGCATCCATTGTTTCCAGACAACTAGATATTGCATGATCCGTCGAATCAATATAGCATCCCTAATAGCGTGGGTCGTTAACCTGGGCGACGCACTGCCACTGAAACCAACTGCGCAAACCTACGAACAGACATCTATCAATCATCACACATGTGGACCGCCCATGTCCTGCAGCATCACGCGGGCGTATGCCGTATGACTATCATCCACGAGAAAGAGTGTACAGTGAAGCCCACGCGTATTCATATATATATATAGAACTTAGAAGCAGCAGGTTGCTGTAACTGTCACACCGACGCGCGCGCCGCACACCTGTCGTCGTATTTCTCTACGAATTAATTGCACTCCGCGCACACGCACACACACGGCGATCGAACAACGACACGGCGTGGGTTCCCGCGCTCTCTCCAAAAACACCAGGTCCTATATTCACAGCTAATCACGCGTAGGCAGGGGATGGAGGAAGGAGTGCTCCGTCGCTACTGATGGTCAAACAGAGTGTATATACGTACATAGCAACGCCAGGTAGCTGAGTGTGACTCGCATTTCTGTGTCGACCTTCCAGGACCTGTAGGCTGCCAACACCGGTGGAATGATCATCACCACATTGCTGATCGTGTTCCCTGCAACCACACACACACACATATATATATAACAATTATTTTTAATATGAAGTACGTATTTAATCTTTACAAAATCAAACTCACTCTCACAGCAAGATAGAAAATTACTGATCGTGACACACACTCGCACGCACGCACGCACGCACGCACACACACACAGACACACACACACACAGACACACACACACACACACAAATATATAATATGAAGCACGTATAATCTCTATTTAAATCAAACTCACTCCCACGTAAAGAAAATTATTGATCGTGTTTCTTGCAACAGCACACGCACGCGCGCACGCACGCACGCACGCACGCACACACACACACACACACACACACACACATACGCACACGCACGCGCACGTGCGCGCAACACACACGCACGCACGCACGCACGCACACACACACACACACACACATACGCACGCGCACGTGCGCGCAACACACACGCACGCACGCACGCACGCACGCACGCACGCACGCACGCACGCACGCACGCACGCACACACACATTATAAGACGTACGTATAATCTCTACAAAATCAAACTCATTCCCACATCAAAGAAATGATGGTCGATTTTGAAAGCTCCGACTTACAAAGAGTCACCCACGTGCTATACGCATCTACTGCAAGCTCTGAGTTTACCTTTTAACAACACGCGTTTCACTACACTTCAATATTTTATGGTTAAAAATGCCTTTTGGATAATAATTGTGTTCATTAGTGGTTCCGAATGAGTGGTACCTTCCCCCACCCCCACCCCGCCGGGAGCTGCTGGACTGCGTGGGGAGGCGGGCTACGAGACAAGGGGGGTAATGTATATATAGGATAGAGGATGGGCCATGGGCCAAGTTTTATGGCACTAACGGGGCAGTGACGGGAAAAGGTTTCAGAACTACTACTACTAGTGTACGTTATACGAGGAGACACATGCAGTGACTCACAACTGCCTGCCTCAGGCGTTCAAGACGCCAATGAAATTTGCCTCTGCCTCATTAACATAATGTCAAGATGATAATGGATAATAACATAATATCAAGAGGATAATATCATGATCAATTGAACGTGATTCGATAGCACGAACTTGTGATAGAATAGAGAGGGGGGACTGAAACACCATTCCCAGTGTTCCAGGTTAAAAAATATGCCATTTCCTACATCCCAGTCTTGAAAACAGAATAGCAATTTCTAGTTCTTTTGTATCTTAAAACTTAATTTTTTTTTAAATTCATTTAGTATTTAATACCCGGTTCTCAGAAAATATTCAATACAGTTAGAAGTTGATAGAATCAAGTTACAGTCCAATCCCACGTCCCTAAAAATAACCACTCCCCGTGCCCTATTATTAGTATTGTCACAAGCTGATAATATAAAGTATAAAGTAAAGACAGACAGACTTTTTTTTACTCGAAACTCCTATATATCTAGTCACTCTTTCACTCTCATGCAACTTATGGCCCTGATGGTTATTGCATTGTATCCTTATCACACTGTATACGGCATCACACTGCAATCGTCTCACTACATAGCGTACTATCAGCGTACTGTGCTCCATCAAATGACCAGCACTGGAGCATTTGTCTGCCGCTTAGCAACCGGTGATGACAACATACTGCATAATAGATCTCATGTCACTCATATCACTCGGTACACGTAACACGAGTACGATAATTATTGGTGGGGTGGGGTGGGGGGGTCACCCGATCGAGACCCGATAGAGGAAGATACACCTGGATACATCCACGCGCTTTCCACCTGCCTGTTACTACCTGCCAGGTGTTGGCACTATCTTAGCTCCTATCTTGCCTTTCCAGGCGATGGCACCTGCCCGCTTCCCACGCCATATATACACATAATCAAGAGCTTATAATACCTAGAGTGCAGAGGTCCCAAGTTGGGAAAATGCAAGAAACGGAGCCAGCAATCCAAGAAAGGGAGCACTTGTGATAATGGCCCATCGCCGTTTTTTCGCAGTGCGCAAAAACAGGAAAAAAGTTGTGGCAGGCTGCGATATCTGTTTGTCGCGGCACACCACCATTTTTTATAAAGTATACATGTAAAATAAAATGCAAATTCATGTTAATTTATGGGTTCACATTTATTTATTATTATACGAGTATATTACACATTTCATCACATTAATGCTTGACATTTGTGGCCTTTTATTGTTCGCTGGAATCAAAGTACATCAACAACAACGGCAAATTTAGTAATTTACTGATGTAAATTTTCATATGGCTGAAAAATGTTACGACCGGGAGCTTCTGGACTCATTCCGGGGCACCGGGAGCAGCGTGTCATACCGGGAGGATCCCGGTGAGACCGGGGGACACTTGGGACGTCTGAGAGTGTACAACGGGAAAAACGGGAAAATGGTGCTATATCAGTTCGTATTAGTGGTATTATAAGCTCTTGACACAATATATGAGCTTATAGTTATAGGCATAAATAACCCCTCTATATAACGTATCCAACGCTAGTTGTGGACGTGAGACGTAGTATACAGACGCACAGACGTGGTTTACAGCTGTGAATATCGAGTACGTGGGAAAGCACCAGTGAAGTGCCCTGAAAGCGTTTGCATATTCTAGCTGCTACATGTCAAACAATATTATCAGGACCTTTCGCATGCCTGCTACGACCAGTGATCAGGCTGATACTACCAGGAGCTTATAAATTTGGAATTTATAAAGTGATTGCATTTATAAGCTCCTGATACTACTTTAGGCGTAGCCGTAAACGTAATATGCTAACTGTCTGGAATCGATTTCTATATTATTATTATTGCCCGATCAGTCATCATGCAACGAAAAACACTCATTATTCTCGTTTTGACTTTGAGGCTAGAGCGAAATTTGGTTACCTAATTAACCAGGTTTCGAATCGCTTCAAGCAATTATAAAGCTGAACTATCGACAAACAAGCTAGAAAATAACTCAAATTACATATATATATCAAAATTTATACGCAGTGAGGCTCGTAACTTTTCACGTCGACTCAAATTTCACGTCAAAACCGTGGAGATTTTTTAAACAAATGGGCACAGGTGCACTCTTTACTATGTGTATATTTTTCCTATATTTTCTGAAAATACAAAGTAAATTTATGATTGCCCGTCAATGTGGGACCATCAGGTCATACACCCTATATTACAAGGATATCCTTATACCAGAAAAAAAATGAAAATTTATTTTTCGGGGGCTACTTTTCAAGCTCGCGTGCATGAAAATAGCACTCTAAAATTTGGTTTGCATTGAACTCTATGCAAATTTCCGGGGCTCATTTTGGCATTTCGGGGGCTAAATCGCCCCGAGCCCCCGTGTATTTTTTTCGCTGCGCTTATACAGCAGAATTAGTTTCATGCCCTTCAAGGTAAAATTGAAGTATACACATTGGCCTCGTCTTTAAGTTACTAATGCAGAGTGAACGAGAAGCAATTGTGACAACTGGTGAGAGACAACTCTTCTCCATGATCAGACTAGCATGTTCAGACTAGAAAAAGCAGGTATCGGGGAAGGACGAGGGCACATAAAGCTGACAGTTACTCGACACAACTTCACCTACTAAAACATGGAATTGAATAGTGTCCATTGCGTGGGAGCCCACAAAACAACCACTGAGCGGAATACTATATCTAAGAACGTTAAGAAGTTTTATGAGCAATTTGAATGAAATGTAACCCACAACAGCACCACTAAATAGTCGTTTCAAGTAATGTTTGAGGACATGGAGGCTTGTAATCTCTCTCCAATCATTTACCATTGACAGAGCAAAGCATCAAACAACATCAGACTGTGTCTCAGCAATCCAGTGGACCTTCTCTTCACAATTTGGAGCAGTTCACTTTGTTGATGAACTGGCTACTATTTCATCATTTCACCTCCTAAAGACATTTGACACATTCAACAAATGTGTAAACCGGAGTGGCCTATATTCAAAAAGGAGAAAAAAAGCAAGCTATACATGTGCATAAGTGTATCAGCTATGCCCCAAATCTCCATCGATAAGAAAGGCACTACAAGTTGAAGTATCATAAGGACTTTGCCTACCTTGAAAGCCCCATTAATTAGCAATGACGACGGTGCCAAAAATACATCAAGGCATGACTGAGTAAACCCTGAGGCGCTTTTAGCTAACTACACCCCATCTGGAAATCTAAGCAGTACAGCAGCAAAACCAAGATCGCACCCTATATAACAGCAACACAAATGCAGTACTCATGCATGGCTCATAGAGCGGCAGATTTAATAGTAAAGATATAGACATGAGCAAGATAGATTTCATCAGGGGTGAATAATGACAAATTTGTCAGTGACAAAAACGGCAAAAAATGACAAAAAATCTACAAACTTGACGAATTTGTCACTATTCACCCCTGATTTCATCTAACATGGTTGCCACTGCACGACCTGTGACATCTACTAGCCAAAAAAGATTTCCGATGAGAGCCTGTGTGAGCAGGCTGGAAGGAGAACCTGTGTAAAAAGGCTGGATGGTGAACCTGTGGAAGAAGGCTGTCTGCAATAGGATTCCTGGAGAACAGGATGCACATAATCAAACAGCTGGGACATGCATTGAGAATGTTCCAGAAACTGATATGGATACATGTGTATGGCTAACAGATGGACACCAACCAGGAAACGCAAACAGGAGAGGCCACAGCAATATAAGCAGTATACTCGCATTTAGATATTTCATAGAAGATTAATAGACCCCTAATACACGTGAATGCTGCGATTATTCTACAATAAAGCTTCAACCGGCATGCAGTGTCAATTAAAGGGATAGTAGATTCTAGGATTTTACTGCATACAACTGTACTTACTGTATAACAAATAGTCTATACCCACACGTACTTGTTACCAGATACCTAATTTAATTGTTATAATTAATTATACATCAACGCTACAAAATTTGAACGGCGCCATTGAACCCCGCGACCGTGCTGCCACCCTGAAAAAGTTGCGCATTTGCCAATTTATTTTGCACGTTACAGACCGAAGGCTAATCACAAAGGTGCAATTATATTTATACCTAAATCTAAATGCTATTTAACCGAACGATGTTCATTTTAGGACAAATTTATCCATAATATAACTGAAACTATATGTCGCTTACAGGGTTCTTGTTAACTTTTGACAAAGCAGGTAATTTGACAATGAATAGCAGGTAACTGTTTTTCCGGCACGGATGGTAGGGCAAGCGGCGAAGGCGCGAAGCCCTGCTAGGGGGGTCCGGGGCATGCACCCCCAAAAAAAAATTCTGATTTGACCCACAAATAGCCTATTTTGATGGGTATGGGTTCTAGAATTTGGTAGTTTAGATAGGAAAATATATGCTATGAAGTATCTATTATAAAAAGAAAAACCTGCCCGCGCACAGAGTTAGTCTTGGGGTTGGAAGTATTTAAAATAAACTTCGTTTTTTTCAAATATGGATTAAATATTTTACCGCCTTTAGTGGGAGTTTCTCTCAAATTGATAGCCGGTAACAAATTGCGCGATAGGCGGTAAAAATAACCGGTTACCGGCTATTAACAAGAACCCTGCGCTTATAAGATATTACAATCCTTTTGCTTTTAAATTAATAAATAAGAAACCCCCTCAGTCTGTAGCCCTTGGCTGAAAAGTCGTTTTGCGCAACTTATCAGATCGTGCACTTTTAGTGGCGCCACCGTCGTTGTAATCAAACTGTAGTCGTTAGTTTTAAAACATTTTTTAATATTTCTAATGGTGATTGAACCATGAAACTTTTTATGTAGTGTAATTTTAAGCTAAATTAACTGAAAATAACCCTAGAACCTAGAGTAAACGATCCCTTTAAGCTAAAAGTAAAGGGTTACAGCCAATCATCCAAACCGTATATAATGCAATGTTGTGACAACATTGCATTATATGCGGTTTGGGTGATTGGCCGTAACGGCGCAACCCAATGTGAATTGACAATGACATAGTTTGGATGTCACTGTGCTGTACAGTATACATACATATATTTGTAATATCCGAATATATACCCGTGTACAGCTGATGAAAACATTTTAGACTAAATAAAGGTGATAACTACACCGTTCATACCAACTAGCCAGTGCTGTGAATAAAGACAAATGTAAGGCAGTTTGAACATTTACCTTATTGTTTTAAGTCAATGTCTAAACAATTTTAGTAATGCATAATATGTGTAATCGTACCAAAAAATATATCACCACTAGCAAGGCTGAATTAACTCACTGTAGGTCCTGTAGCATCTTAAACAAGTGAGGCCCCATCTAGGAAAATAACTACAGTCATTATAAAAAGTTTGGCTTGGGGCTACACAGCCTTTCAAATTGAGCACTAGTGTGGGGCCTGTAGCATGTACCACATTTCCTGACCACCAGCACTAGTAGCATTTCACATTCATGTACCTCCAGCTGGTAGTGACATATTTTAAGACAGTGCTTATAAGGAACCTGCCAAACTATTAATTGTTGAACTGCCTATGTTGTTTATAGATCAAGTATGTAACAACTACATTTACTAGTATTTGTACATGCAGTTACTTATACAGCACTATAATTACAAGTCGTTAGTGTCTGCAAGGTAATAATACTCCTGATTGTCGTTAAAGCATTTGGTTAGCTACTTGCCATTTTCAAAGTGATAGTGATTTATCTCTGGTAGGCCTACATGTATGTAGCTCTAGTACTATAGCCCGCGTACAGTTGCCACCAGCGGCAACTATACGCGGGCTATGCCTATAGTACTAGAGCTAACATGTATGTATATCACCTTTTTAAATGACACAATAAAATACCATGGATGTTTGAATGATGATTCACAATGAAATCATTCTTCAATGCTGCAGACTTTGCCACTTCACAACACAAGCTTGAAAGTTGGATCTGCCCCCCCCCCCCCCGGTGGATTTACAAACCTCTGCCAAACCACCTCTGTCAAAGCATGGTACGTGCCCCTCCCCTCAACGATTCCTGTACACACCACAGTCTGCTACACCATACTACAGTGACAATGCTAGGGCGAACCAATGCAGACATTAATTTCTAAAAGTAAAACGACATATTAATGACTAGATCTAGTATGAAAAATCTTTGGTACCACACTAGAAAGGGCTACGTAATAAGTTACTAGGCCTATGACTAAAGTTATAATTTCTCTTACTAATCTTATAGTGAAGCGACGTTGATTCTGAGTATATTAAACTAAACTAGGAAAAAGTGTGATATATATCTTACAAAACTCGGCGACATAGTACGTGACTTCGTAATTGGATTCACACCAATCCAATGTCGAAGTAGGAGGACCCCAAAATCCGACTGGTGCCATCGCTACCAACACATCAAGCAACGCCACTACAAAAAGAACACAACATAACCTGACTGAGAACATAACCGCAGGCGCAGGTCTGATGCCGACCTCGTTTCAGACAGGTTAGCTGCTGCCACCTGTTGGAACTTATTATCAAAATCCGAACGATTATTATGTCTGCAGCTTCCTTCCCATCAATTAATTTTTCACATGTTGTATTACAACGCGTCAGGAGTGAATAATAATAGATTATCTATCAATCTATCAGTGTAGATCTATTATTATTTAAATAAGAGAACTGTCTCTTTGTTAAGTCCGCTGTCTTGGAATTAGTTGCAGTCAACAATGATCACGGTCTGTACATGGAACAAAAGAATGGGTACATATAGGGGTACGTATGGGTAATAGTATCAGTTACAATCCTCTATCTCCCCTCAAGTCTTTGGCGCGAATAGACTGACGCGAATGTCAATAATGTGACAAAGACTGAACAATCCGAAATAGTGCGGAAAACAGGCCCTATTCTGGAAGATAATCAACGACAGCAGTCGACTTTCCATCCTTCCTCACCAAAAGCACCAGCATATGCCGCGGCACACACAAGCTTATATACAACAACATCAGAACCCGGACAGATGGGTACAGGTTCAGCTTCTTTCCTAGAACAATCAGAAGCTGGAATCTGCTACCGGAGTCACTACTCACTAGTCCAACAGCACAGCAATTCACTGGGTCCCTCTGGAAAAACATTGAGTCAGGCAGCTTCGTTGTTATGCCACCTCGAGGGAGTGAAACGCATCTCCGGCTGGGCAACTACAACAGCTCGCAACAGCCTATTGCCGTATGCTAGTCGCACTCAGTAATGAGTGCCTCGCCCAGAGAAGCCTCGATCTCTGGAACACGTTACTGTCTACATTTTGAAAATGTTCTGTGCAAGTCTCTCACGTGCACCTGGAGTTCTTCGCGCACTCCCTGGACGTTTATTCCTCACGGACTGTCCAGTATAGAAGTAGAAGTAGAAGTGCGGTGAACAACAAACAACTGGCATGAACGACGAATCTTGTGAACAAAACTATGAAAAATCCATGTATCAAAAGTCAAACACCGTATACAGGAACATAAACACAGGAACGCGAAAAACATTGTCAGTTTGAATGCTGAGATCACATGGAATAGTCAGGCTCGTAGGGTCTATGTCCCCCTGACCTCTGTTTGACCTCGCTCGTTTAGCTATTTCTGACTAACCCTAACCCTAACCCTAATCCTAACCCTAACCCTAACCCTAACCCTATATATATTATATATTAT